GTCGTTGGACGCGTTCTTGAGATCCAACTGGCCTCTTTGACCAGCTATAAAAGAAATCGCGAGCCGGAATCGTTCCGAGACCATGCAACTCCCCAGGCTTTCAAGAAATTGAATTGATCCGATGAGAGCGCCTACTCCGCTAATTCAAAGTCAGAGCAAAGTTTGGTGGCTCCGAACAAGGCTCCTATCTTCCAACGAAGCCTGCCTTTATTTACTCTCTGTCTCTCTCTTCTTCATTCCAGCGTTCGCAACGCCTCGGAAACTTCATCTGTATTCCAAAAATTTCAGGATGCATTCAAGATTACTGGTAATCGGCTCGTTCTGTATCGTGTCTGCACTTGGACAAGACTGGGGTGGAATGGGAGGAGGTGGATACGGTGATGGCGGTATGGGAGGTGGAGGATGGGGCAACGGTAAGAATAATGCGCTCAGTAAACCGATCAGTTCGGCTATCTTATTGTTATCAGATTAAGATGAAAATTCAAAAAGTTATTTGTCTTTTTGGAATTTCAGCAAAAAAAGCATCTTTTAGAGGAAATCTATCCAACAGTCGCTTTTCCTAACCTATCAGATTTATCGATTTGAACGGAGCACTACTTTTACCATATCAATTCTTGATCATCCAAGAATTTAGGCGGAAATGGTGGCGACTTTGGTGGTGGCTATGGAAATGGTGGCGACATGGGAGGTTACGGTAAGCTTTGCTGTTCTGTTCTTTTACTCGTTTAATTACTCCAAACACCCTATTACTAAGTAAGTACTTAATTTTAACTCGCAATTCAGGTGGATATGGAGGAGATGGAGGAGACGGAGGATATGGTGGTTATGGAGGTGGCGGCTATGGCGGTGGTGACATGGGTGGTGAGTGGATCTCTATTCGAAGAATTTGATTGGAAGATTTGTTCTCGATGAAAGTCCTTATTGGAATATCAATTCACAAGTTATTTCCATCTAAGTGCACATGCTGTTGCGTGCACTCCCTTATTTCTTCCAATCCCAAGGCTTCTCTTTTTCTTCCACAGCCTCCCCCTTCAAATATCGGTGTTTTCTTCCTTCAAGTGCTTAGCTTCGAAGGCAGTTGGCACGATAATTTGGTACTCGGCCTAAAATGCTAGCAGGGCGCTATATAGTGGGAAAATGGCGAAAGAACGGAGTGAAACGGTCAAAATCCTGCGAAAAAAGCCTCCGTTCTCAGTGACTTGAAAATCGATTTCGGACGAGTTTCCCGTAGGCATCTTGCCAATAACCGCTACCGAAGATACGGCTGCATATGTGTACTCATATATCCATGCAGCACCGCGGCCGCTTCATACCAATCCCTTCGCTTCATAATTTGCTTAGCAAATGAATCAATACGAGCGTCAGGAACGGTCGTCCATTTGTGGGGCGGGCGTGGTGGGCGTTCGGGTCGGTATGTTGTAGCTTGATAGGGCCCTTATAAGGGTACCTTTCCTTGGAAAGGGCGCTGCGCAGCGCTTTCTTAGGGGCGCGGAATTCCGTCCTGCCAGGCGTATTAATCCTACTCGTCTTTAAGGATTCATCGTGCCAACCCTTTAAGAGGGAATCCCACCCTTTACGTAGGCAGTCCAACCCTTTTTAGCTGAGGCCGTTCTACATAGGAAGCGAGTCTCGTGGGGAAAGCCAACCTGAAGGCAATGTGTTAGGAGTAAGCTTCAGCTTGCGCAGTTCTACGAATTCTTTCTCGAACCGCTCGCAAAAGTACTAAGCACTAGTAGTCGTGCTGTTGGTTCAATAACCGAGTGCCTACCGTACCACATGTTTCCCCTTGTTACAATTTGAACTTCTGAAGCTATATCCAAGTGTATAGCTAAAAGTTTCCCCTTGCAATTACAATTTCAGGTTATGGAGGTGGCGGATACGGAGGAGACGGTGGCATGGGCGGAGGATTCGGAGGATACGGAGGAATGGGTGGAATGGGCGGATTCGGTGGAGGATACGGCGGCAATCAAGGTAACAACTTTCTAGGCTTATAGAACCTATTGGCACTAGAAAGCATTCGCGTTTCTCAACTTGTAACTCTATTTTGCAACAAGCAAAATGTTCTAACATGAAAAAATTGAAATATTACATTAATTCATTGCTACGCCGAACCAGTATAGCGTAATTCGATAGAATAATTTTCAACAAATTTCTGAATTCTTGGATTCGTTCTCTTTCTTCTGAGGTTTCACTGGGACAGCTACACGACTTCTGAGCCCACCTCTACGCTATTTAGCTTTGAAGGGCATTTTGCCCTTCCGCTAATTTAATAACAGGTCTTATTTCGGTGAGAACTGCAGGCTCCTGTGAAGCTGCAAAGTGGTGTGAGCCGCTTCACTGCAGGCCAAGGTGGCCTGTACAAGCTCAGCCGACCACATGTTCCTGCCGCTCCACATTTTTAATAATCCCTTCAAAGCGCGTAGTGTCAAGTAACCGTTCTCATGACCTGAATCTGGTCACATGTCAAAATCTATGAACGCCGTTCTTATAATTAGCGTTTACAGGCGGCGGCCAACCAGACCAATTCGGCGGTATGGGCGGTTACGGTGGACAACCATACATGGGCGGCATGAACGGCATGGGATATCCACAGTGATGCGAAGGCAAAAAGAACGCAGATGTGTGTACATAATGTGATAGATATAAATATTAATTATGGCTGGAGTTAAGTAAATGTCAGCTGTCAGCAAATGCTATTCTGTACAAATGAAGGATTGAAAAACTAATGATGTTGTGTTGCATCCGATTCCTTGAAGCTACTCAGTCTCAAGGAACTGGTATACCCACAGAACAACTAGCCCCCTATATCATTAAATTCTTCCCCCCTAAGCAAGCAAGAAATACACTTCAAATGGCCTCATAGACTGATTATGCAAAGCATTTTTGGCAAGAATACCCTCAAAGGCTCGTTTAGTCGCGGTAGCCTTGATTGCTAACCAGTCACATCCATTCTCGGTTAAAGACACATGGTACGTTCAAGCACATTGAGGGTGTATGAGACTATCAGCCCCCCAGCTGTCGATGTGTCGTGGTCCCCCCGCCCAAACATGCCCAGGAATGGAGATACAGGACCGTGAAACACGCTAATTTCCTCCATGCTCCGCCTTACACCTTTTGCGGCGCAGATTCCCTAGTAATATAATCATAGAAGCATTCCGTTGCAGAGCGGCGCGTGTCGGCGTGCGGCTCCTTGGCAACCGGGATTGGCAAGTGCCTTTAATTGCGCTCTCAAAAAAAACGCAATTTCCTGATGCGGATAACATTGGAGGTGCTACAAAATAAGAACAGAAGATGATGACAAGGGCCAGAACTCAAGAGCAACTCGGCTGCATCCGCAGAATCCATCAGAGGCCGCGCATTCCCAGAAAACATGAGAATAAAACAATCCGGCAGAGCGTTCCCTCGTTAATTCTAAAAGTAATTCTAATGGTTTTGGCGCCGGATTCGCGCCAGTATCGTAGAAAATTTATACGAGGCGGACTTCAAGCTATTTTGCCTTTCACTTGATTTTTTCATTTTTGTTTCATTATACATTAATGTTGTGGCTTCATTTCTAGCCTGTTCATACTGTCGTCTCCTTGTACAATGGATTTTTGAAAGCATCGAGCAACAACCGTAAAGATTTTATTCGCATCAGGAAATTGCGTTTTGCTTGTATCAAACTAACGAGTATGCCGTTTTTATTTTCATGTTTCGTGGAAATACGCGGCCTCCGAGGGATGTTGCAAGTGGCACAGTTGCTTTTAAGTTCTGACCCTCGTCATCATCTTCTGTTCTTATTTTGCAGCACCTCCAATGTTATCCGCATCAGGAAATTGCGTTTTACTTGTATTGCGCAATTAAAGGACTTGGCAAAGTGCCAAGGAGCCGCACGCGACACGCGCGCTTGCAACGGATGTTATGAAGGACGGGAATCTGCGCCGCAAAAGGGTGTAAGGCGGAGCATGGAGGAATAGCGTGTTTCACGGTCCTGTATCTCCATTCCTGGGCATGTTTGGGCGGGGGACCACGACACATCGACAGCTGGGGGGGCTGATAGTCTCATACACCCTCAATGTGTGTGAGCGTACTATGTGTCTTTAAGAAGCGAGTCGAAAATTTGACAAGATGTTGATTTAAGAAGCTTTAGCTCAGTGCTATACGAAGTTATTACGTGTTAGAAGTAATTCTCCATTGAGCTCACCGATATTCGTCGTTCCACTCCGCATTCCTTGAATGCTAGACGTAAGCTAGCGTTTTGAAGACCACTTGGACTCGCTGGAGGGCTACGACAATGAGGATCATCGAGACGATCCTGTACGAATACCAGACCACGAAATGGATTACGTGTCTCAAACCGGACCTAAACATCTAGCACTTGACATCGTACAAGCACTTGGAATCGGTGCTTATTGAAATTCTCCTTGAATTTCTCAGTTGTAAACTACTATAAACTATAGAGGCGGAGGTGGTGTAGTGACAAGTGGCGCGCTTACCACTCGCGCGGCGCCGGGTTCGAATCCCGGGTCGACTCCCGCCCAGGCCAACCAAGCCTTCTACCCTCCGGGGACGGTAAATTGGTACCAGATTCGTCTGGGAGGATAAAACACTGACTTGTACATCGGCTGGCCACCGCAAGTCATTGTATAGGCCACATCGCATTCAATAAGCCACTACGATTCTGAATGGAAGTAGAATGCGTGCCGCATCCCACAAAGGGATTGATCAACGGCGAAGACTTTATCCTTTTTTTTAAACTACTATACTGCTAGTGTTTTGAACGATACGTGAGGTGGGTACGGATTCACGTGACGAACTGAGTAATTGCTAACCCCACTTGGAGGTCAAACGTACGGTAGTCACAAGTAGTTTCCATTAAGCCCTCTGAAACCTTGAGAAAGTTTGGATGTTGTGGGCTCCGAATTTGAGTAGACATGGATGTAAAGTCTAGAAGTATAACGCCTCGGGGTTCAGCAATCCATTTTTCGGTTCTTCTCCCCCTCAGAAGCTTACAGTCCCCATCATTGCGGACTGTCGGGGCGGCACAGCCGCGCTGCACTGTGACGCGACAGCGGCTGCGGCTCGGGCGAATCAGCTGATTTCGATGGAATTCGGCTGCAAATTCACACTTTTTCAGCTTTTCAAGTTTCGAAAGTGGAAGGTGAGTCATTTTGAACGGTTTTTAAATTGTTCTGGCTCTAATTTCCTTTATTTTTATGTTTATTATTACGCCCTTTTCCTTAAATTTTACCTTATTTCAGGCATTTATTCAAATGGCTTGCATTCTTTCAGATTCATTCAGAGCCAGTACAATTTAAAATTGTTCAAAATAACTCACCTTCCACTTTCGAAGCTTGAAGAGCTGAAAAAGTGGGAATTCGCAGCCGAATTCCATGAAATCAGCTGATTCGCCGTCACCGAGCCGCAGCCGCTGTCGCGTCACAGTGCAGCGCGGCTCAGCCGCCCCGACAGTCCGCAATGATGAGGACTGTATGTCTTTTAAATGTCACTCAACCTATACTACCGTTTCGGGGCCAATTCAAGCCACTGCTCTAATTCTTTAGCCGAATTCTGCTGAAAAAGTACAGTTCGCACCTCAAAATAGCTATCAGCACAGTCAACTAGAGGATCACCGACGATACCGTTGTCCTGTTGAGAAAGAGACGAAAGCTAGAAATATAACATCAGAACAACGCATGTCAGAACATGCTATAGCAATAACCAATTCGGGCGCTGATTTTCTTTGGGGGAGCATTTTCATAAATTCTGTCAACGTTTAGTCATGGTCCCTGCAGACGATAGGGCCTTGATGCGGCGCGGCCTGCAGTGCAGCCAGGTCGCCATCACCATTCTGAGAATACAGCAGATGAGAAATCTGATTCGGATGCGCTGCAAGCCATGCCCCCCTGCAATGAGGCGCCCTAATTGTTGCGAGAGATTACTTGTAGTAGACAGTGATTCTAACGACTGTGAATACGCAGGCTTGAAGAGTACTAGTTTCATTTGAGTGACCCGTAGCTCAGAACGGTTCAACACGGCATTGAACGAATGATTAAAGGCAGCGCCACGTCCATTTGATGTTCCCGCGCAGTCTCTGGATATCATAGCCCTCTCTATGAAGATGCAGTAATGTACTAATTTGGCATCGTGCTCTAATTTCGCATCTCAAAAAGGCGAGAGGATAGCGCCGTTCGCTGGTGAAGAGTCGGCCGCCCCGCCCACCTGGCCAGCATAGGGTTCTATATAGGGCATTTCCCATGATTTTTTCCTTTTTTTCTTCACTCCTGGATCACGTATTATATAGGTTCCAGAGCCCATAAAGCGGGCTCAGCCAGCAAAGGGCACCATATGGGGGCGATTCCCATGATTTTTTTCTGCTTTTTTCTTCACTACTGGATCACGTATTATATGAGCTCCATAACTCATTATTCTTGAAAGCGGGCTCAGCCTTTAAAGGCTAAGCCAAAGCAGTTATGGCAGCCAGGTGGGCGGGGCGGCATCCTCTTCACAAGCGGGTGGCCCCATCCTCTCGTACTTTTGAGCTGCGAAATTAGTACATCCTCCACCCTTGTCGACAAAGCTACGATATCTAAGGAGGGCGTAGGAACATCAAATGAACGCGGGTGCTGCCAAGGCGCTGAGGTATCTCCAAAACGCTTCATGCACTGAGCCCCCGCTAACCCCAGAAGTGTCTGGGTACGATCATGAGCGGCAGTAGGACTTCTCCGGTTGCCAGCTCATTGCGAAGCGTGTGACTTTAGAGGGAAAACCCTGGTTGATTTATGAGGGGTTCCATCTCCTAGTCGTGAAATGGTGATAAGAAGTGTCCTTCCACCTTGAATCCTCTCGATCAACGGCTATAGATTCCATTGAAAATAAGTTGTTCCAATGAAGAAACCTCTCTGGTTTCTTTCGCTTCTACTCAAATACTGTTGCCTCACAATAAACAAGCTTACTGTCGAAACTGGTATCATTTCGCACCGTACGTATCGCATCGCTCGAAGGCCGTGCCGCGGATGCCGTGTAGGACTGACAATTAATTAAATGCTCCCTCAAGGAAATTGGCCCCCCGACAGTGAAGACGATTATCAGTGGGTCATCTAGACGCTAATATACTACGCATCACAATCATATCTTTTGAAAAATAAACTACTGAATTTCGAAGCAACTCACCACGTGACCCAGAACTAATGCTAGCCACAGCAGAGGAGAACGCATCTCCTCAAATAGATCGCTCTAAATAATACAAGCAGGTTGATAAGATGGCTTTCTACGTTTAAATAGACGCGCAAAAACCTCGAGGTCTAAAAAACGTTAGGCAGCCATGTTAAGGATATGAACTAAAACGCGGCGTAATGCGCTCGTTTGTAAAGTATCCAGATGTAAGAAAAATCACGAAAAAAAACAAAAAAAGTTCGACTGTGTCGTAGAGCTGAAAATGGTTGATTGTAAGCACTAGAATCCGCAGTTAAGCCAGCTATTGGGATAGTTACAGGAGATTTTCCCTCCGCCCACCTTCACAAAACTGTCACCATTAAGAACAAGACCGATTGATCGCCACGACCTCGTCATCTCAAAGACTAGACGCTTTCAAAACTAGTTGTAGACCAGTTTGAGCTTTCTTAAAATGCTATGTTTTCTCGGATCCACAAGTCAAGAGCCAATAAGTCCTAAATCAATTTCCCACGGGTAGATAGAGCAAAGCGCTTTGGTGAATAAAGGCTAGCCCCTGAGACTAAGTAATACACCTCAACGATCGCAGTACATTCCACTGTACCTGCTCAAGTTTTTATCATTTCAGAGGACTCTGGTGTCAAACAATCGAATATTTAGGGATGAATTATTTCGGAAGTTTAAGGAGCATCTGACCCACATAAGTAACGGAAGTTGACGGAAGTGACACCAGAGTTATGAAATGTATTGTATTAGAAATAGTACCCTTGAATGAGCGGTCCGCGAACTATGAAAATGCAAGAGGTTATGTGGGAAGGTAGTGCGGTCCGGAGTGGACAACCCTGTGCCAGTTTCGCGGCGGAAAGTTGTACGGTAAAGGGATTAAGGCGCAAAGTTGCTTCAGTGGTACATCCCTTTTTCCAGTGACTCCGCCTCCAGACTCCGCCTTCAAACCGTGCTTTTAAACATTTTTATATGGAGAGATTGAGTACCCCAGGGGTTCAGTAGATCAAAGCGCAAAAACTTCTATTGCTGATCATGACACTGGTATACACAGTACACAGTGATTATACATCGTGCTCCGAAGACACTCCCTTCTCCTAAAATTCTACTTTCAGCAAAAAAATACAACGAACATTGGCGAATGCATGAAGGCGAAAATCAGCAGGAAACGGTGCACTTTTGAACATTTGCAACTGCGACAGGAATAAAATGCAGTTCTGTATTTAAAATAGGTGTTATTCATGGGTATAACATTAGTTATGATTCATCGATGACCGTCATGAAAATCGAAGTTTGCAGGGTCGTATACGCTGAAGATAGTGATCTATGTATGTTATAGTGTTCCTTCACGGTACAGAGATCCTATTAAGATCGAATTGAGGAGAAAACTGGGTTTCTTGAAACTTCTTCTATGCTGTTATTTCAAAAAGAGAAAAAAAAATGCTCGGCATTGACTAGTTGGTCATGGATGCGCCATGCATCTGACTTCCATTCCGAAAATGGTAGTAGGTGCTGCAGAAAGGCTGAATGGCAGTTGGTACCACTACGGGATTGGTTGGGTAACACTAAATCTTTCGTGCCTGGGGAATCGTCAATGTTCTTTAGATCAAGCTCCCATAGCATGGTGAACGGTTGGCCTGCACGCTGTTGAGCTGTTTCAAACGACCCTTTAATTACGAATGCAGTGCGCATGGTGTGGTGGCTTTACTATCCTGTGGTGGTAATTCGGGTGAGTCTTTCTCGCCCATTGGGGTGAGTAGACGATTTTCTGGTATTCCGTGAGAAATATTAGCGAGGGGACACCTTACAGGTCCTGGAAAATGCAGCTTTCGAGCCCTGTGCTATTTTCAGACCGCTTAGGATAAAGACCCGCTCTTTAGGTCAAATCTGCAGTAAATGTCCCCCTAACAAACCTGTTCACATAAAATCAATCAGCAAAGCAGTAAAGAATTCCGAATCAAAATTTCTAAGAAAAACTTGGAGCGTTCATGAAATAATTAATCTCGTCAAGTAGATGGCGACCTCAGTGAAAGCGAATTAGTGAATCCTTGTCCAGGGATAGTGAAAAGTAAAAGTTCCGTATGGCTTTGTGAGGAGATGTCTATGGAATGTTGTCCAAAGTCGCCAGATACGAATATAGATAGCGTGAAACGCGATCTCGAATTTCAACACTGAACTGGTCATCAGCCCGCGAGAACTAGCAATCGGCGTGAAATCACGCCAAATCTCAGTGCGACAAGTCAGAGTATCCTTGTATGGCAGAATATATGAGGAACTATCGCCCTTTTCTACAAGGGTTTTAAAAAGTAAAAAATAAAGTCTTCCCTTTCGAGGCGTGCTGTCTATTCGCATTTCACATCGTAATGGCCTACAGAATGCGAGGTGACCTAAACGACTTGCGGAAACCAGCAGATGTACAAACCAGGGCTCTTATCCTCCCAGACTTATCTGGTACCAATCCACCGCCGTCGGAGGGAAGGAGACATGGTTGGCCTGGCAGGAGCCAGTGTGCTTTCTGCGCGTGGTACGAGGACCACTTGCCACCATAGCACCCTTGCCCCTTTAACATGACTCAAACACGGGAATTGAGTGTTGCCCGGGTGTAGCAAGACCACATTGATGTAGATCATTTTTGCGAAATCCGCATCAGGAGGCAGAGTGTTTAACTGCAGGAGTATCCAATCACAAGGAAGAAGTCACAATTGGCTGTTCGAATTCTTCCTTCATGATAAAATTTGCTGTTTTAGGCACGCCATATAGCCCGTCTCTCCCTCCCTTTGTGGGCTGGTTCTATCTATGTTAGGACAGTCGTTCTGCCTGAGAATAGTTGGTACTGAAAGTGACATTTTCTGGGCGCAGTGGTGCCAAGCTCTACCATAAATAAGGTCCTAAAGGGTCAGTGTATAGTGCTTAAAGTCGCAATCGTCTGGGAAAGAAGCGGAATGAGCCCACTTTCGGCTGTCCTTGCTCTACCAGTGGTGATCGGCTAGTGATCGAACAAGGAAGAAACCAACCACTGGCAGGGGTGGGCACTCTTATAATGCCTCTTGGAGCCATCCCGACTGTTTGCGAGATGGTATTAACGAATAGCCCTCCTAATTAGTTAGTAAATGTACGTGTCGAAAAATAATTCGCACAGCACTAAAAAAACTCCATAGACCCGGGCCATTCCATCGTCACCAAGTCAGGTCACGCCGCACAGGCCGTGCCGCCTCGCCGCGACGCGGAACTCCCGAAGTTGCATTACCGTACTCCCGAGTTATCACTGGAGCAAAGGATTAACATTGTTTCACGGCGTCCTACTAACACCCCGGAACGAATTTCTAGTTCGATTTCAACTGATCTCCCTAGTATACAGTACCTATTACTCATTATTCACCGCTGCGGTCGATATTCGCTACCACTGGGACATTACTGGGACGTTTTTTATGCAGTCTCTGTTTAATTTTGCTGAATGTCAGCATTTTTATACGGTTTTCGAATTATGTCAAAATTCCGAATTTAACTTTTCTTTTCTGGCATATGCACGAGGGTTGTCATGTGTTTTTTTTTCAACATGAACCCCATCGTGAACTGCTAGAACTCTCCCAGTTATTTTCAATGCCACCATGTTGCCGCCCAGTTTCTTCGCTTACATTCGAAGGAAATACTATCGTGCTCAATTTTCTGGCATGCTTGCGTTCATGTGACTGTTCAACATAAAACCTCGGCCTAGACTGCTGGAATCCAGCCCTACGTCGCAATCTTTTCATTTCTCGTTCATAATCCAGTTGTACTCTAATCTAGAATCTTATAATCTACTGAATCTAGCACTATTAGTGTATAAGATTGTCAATATGTGTTGTTTGGTCCTTGGGATATCGCAGTCCCCAAGGCTAACATTCGCCTCCGGTCTGTTACACCCTTCGGCTTTTTTGGACAGGAAATCACTCGCAGGTCCATAAACACACCCAGTGAAATGGAGGCGGAAAACATTGCTTTGCCATCTGTAAAATGTCATTCAGAAGATGAGGGCAAGGGAACTACTATGTGCGATGAAGGGTGAATGTTGTACTGAGCTGAACAAGACCTCCCCCCCCCCCCCACAAGCTTTCTCCTCTTGACGATCACCTTTCACCTCCCATCGTATTAACCAGTTTTCCTTAACTCTTTCTCTCTCTCCTGCCCAACTACAAATTTCTCGTTTTCTTTCCCTGCCAGGAATACGTACCCAGTCAGGAATATTCTGTTTTCCGAAATCTGCACTGCTCTCCATGAGCGTCTTTTTCCAGTCTCTCCTCTGTACACATCTCTTTCCCTAAGTTCGAGCTTGAGAGATAGATACTGTCTGGAGAAAGAAGGCTGATCACGCACGTGCTGTTTGTATTCGGAAGATTTTCCCGAAAAACCACTCAAGTACGGCTCACTTCGGGACTTTCGACTTACGCGTGCTTAGAGCCACTTGACCGCTTAGAAATACATCTTGCTGTCACATTTATTAGGAAACAATGACAAAAACTGCTATCTGAGCACATTAATGCCTAATAGCCAATAGTTCATAATTTTTACAGCATGTAATACCTTTATTAGTAACAACATTCACAAGCTAGTGTACCAATCACAGAAACAGTAAAAGCTTCACGATTGTGACTTCAGTGAGATCTTTCATGTGTTAGATGGCTTGGGCTTCCTTGAGAAGTGCTGCGAGCTTTCCGTTTCTTGTGGCGGCTGCCGCGTCATCGCCTCCATCAAAGAAGTTCCAGTTGATGAACACTCGTGGCACCGGTCGCGCTCCGGTCAATGACTGAAAAAGGGGACAGATCAATTCTGAACTGCTGATTCATTGGTATCATGCACAATAAGTTCCTCAACATTTTTTCAACCTCGCAATTTCCAGTGATCCTTTAAGCACTCTCAGTTAGAAATAAATCCCACTTTCATTAGTACTTCTTTTAGGGATGGGAAAGTGAAACACTGTTACTTGTGTTTAGTAATTGGATGGTATGTGCGAAAAGTAGGATTTCAAAGCACATCCACTACTTAGAGAGCTTCAAATACTTTTT